AATATTTAACTGTTGTGATAACCTTGCCTACCTGTAATATGGTATGTAACGTTTAAATATAAAAGACTGAGGATGAGGATATTATTTTTACTACTATTTATTTTATATTATATTTATTTTAATGTAAAMAAATATAATTTGTTAATTTTCTTTATCTCCAAAAGGTATGATAATATTATATTATGTTACGACGCCCTGCACTAATGTGTATTTATTCTATTTATAGCAATTATCAATTAAATGTTATGTTTTTTTTCATAAACTTTTCGTGTCAGCGTCTGTTGAAATATGRTAGCATTGGTTATAAACTTATAAATTAACTTTATTTTAATAGTGCCGTACCAACAAAATCCCCTAACCCCCACCCCTATATACGCCACTGAGTGAGCAAAAAGTTATTCAGTTCTAACATCTCCATAGCACAGGCTGTGAGCTGAGAGCAGGGGCCTGTTAAAAAATTATTTCCCGCGCCGTTTGTTTGAGCTAGTCCAACCCTGTGTGAGCCTTTTACAATGAGTTTTCGAGAAATTTGGACTATTTAGTTATTGAGATTAGAATCACCTATAGTTTTTTTCATTGGCTATTTTTACTGATTTTCTGTGGATATTACTACTTAGATTAGGTTAGCAATGATTGTGAAGATAGGGGTGAATTAAAATGCGTAATTGTATGCAATATTACAAATTACATATTTTTAACAACTCGTAAAACGCTTTAAGGTTGTCATTTTCGGTTTTTAGAGGAACGATATCGTTTATATTGTAATGATTTTACAATAATGTTWGGTTTWGTCGATGAAATTTTTTTTGAAGAAATAATGGTTTAGCTTTCAACTTCAACATYTTATCTGATAGAATAATGAAGTTAGGTAACTCGTAACTGTTATAAAACTTTTTAGTTTAGAAAGTCAAATTTGGATATTCATAAATTCATAAACATCACACTAATTTATTAAAACATCGGGAAAAACAAAAATAAAATATAAAGAGGATTTTCACACATAACAAGTTTTCGGCAAAATCAATTTAGTATTTTGTGGGTAACTGAAAAGTCTTTGACCTTTGATACTTTAAATTTATACCGGCATTATATACATCATTTCATTTTCAAAATGTTTTGATTATTTTTAAGCTATTTATAGGTATGAAAAATGTTACATTTTTTCAATTATTGTTGATAAATATTTATCRCTTTGATCACAACTAAGGGTAGGCATATGCATATCCGAATTATTCAGTTATGTCAAATCCGGATCTCACGAATTATTTAACTTGATTTTGCTATTCAATGACTCATTTTTAGCAATAATATATTTTAATTCTATAATATAATTTTCGGACATAGGTATACCAAATTTCGAACGCATTTTAACTTTTAAGCACCAGTGATATACTYAACACTTCATCTAGTATTAATTAAATTTTCATTATGATAAAATAAAAAAAATTATCATACCATACATCAAAAATGATTGTAAGCCTAGCCACATAAAAAGCAAATCCATATAAAAATTTG